AAGGGAGGAGAACCTAAGTGCTTTCTCATTCACGCAGATACATATTTTGATTGTGAGACCTTATTTTTCTCTTTTACCGGTATAACTCATAAATCTTTTTATAGGAAAATTGTTTGTTGCTCATTGGGTTGGGCCTACTTATTAAAAATCAAATTTGGCCAGATGCAGTGACTCACACCTGTAATTCCAGCACTTTGGAAGGCCAAGGTGAGAGGATTCCTTGAGCCCAAGAGTTCGAGACCACCCTGGGCAACATAGCAAGACTTAATCTTTACAAAAAATTAGCCAGGTGTGGTGGCATGTGCCTGTAGTCCCAACTATTCAGGAGGCTGAGGTGGAAGGATCATCTAAGCACCAGAGGTTGAAGCTGTGGTAAGCCATGATGGCATCATTGCACGCCAGCCTGAGTGACAGAGTAAGACCCTAACAACAACAAAAATAAATAAATTACCCTGTTGAAATGCCTAATCTAACACCCTTGTATAACATTTTTTCCCTTTATATAAACCTTTTCCACACATATAATCTCAGAGATGTCAATTGGTCTCTTGAAACCTTGCATTTGTAGGGATAACAGAGACTGGGATAAGCTCTGTCCAGGACATGAACTCAAGCTTTCACTCCTGATGCATGTCAGCTATGGCTGGGAAAAGACACAAGCTGTCTGGTGATGCACACTTCACGAATATCCCCCCAAAACCAGCTACAGAGATTCTAAACCAAATTTCTGAAACCACATCATGAAAATTGGCCAATAGCAGCTTTGTGGTTGCATATAGATGACAAATCCCTTCATGATACTGACCTTGGGTTTCTTGGATACTGCCATGTTTAGGTTCTTGCTAGTCAAGTCATGGGTCTGTAAAAATGCTGTTTTTGAGTGGTATATGTATACAGCAGTGGTTCTCAACTGGAGGGAATTTTTATCTCCTTGGGAACACTAGCAATGTCTGGAAATAATTTTGGTTGTCACTACTGAGAGGGGGTTGCTGCAGCTAGCATCTGGTGAGTAGAGGCCAGGATTGCTGGTAAACATTCTTTAATGCCCATCGCAACTCCACAATCAAGAATTATCTAACTAAGATAACAGTACCAAGATTAAGAAACCCCGGTACATAGGCATCTATACATCAAATCAGGTGGCGACAACCTTTTTTTTTTTTTTGAGACAAGATTTCACTCTTTCACTCAGGCTGGAGTGCAATGGCACAATCATGGCTCACTACAGTCTCCCACTTCTGGGCTCAAGCAATCCTTCTGCCTCAGCCTCCCAAGTAGCTAGGACCACAGGTGTGTATTAACCTGGGCTAATTTTTCTTTTCTTTTCTTTTCTTTGTAGAGATGGGGACTTGCTTTGCTGCCTAGACTGGTCTTGAACTCTTGGCCTCAGGTGATCCTCCTGCCTCATCCTCTCAAGGTGCTGGATCACAGGCATGAACCACTGTGCTCAGCTCAATAAGTTTTTATATACTCAGTCAAACAAATTGTGTTGAAAGTAAGGACATTTGCAATCATTCTACCTCTGTGAATAGTTATTATTGACTTTGATGACCATATTGGTCGGTTAATATTCTCTGTGGGTCATGGGGCCAAGAGACCCTTCCCGATGGGCTCCCCTCTTGCTACCTCCTTTCTTGGTTATGTTAAATCAATCTAAAATCTGGCCTGAGAAAGGCTCTGTACTCCCATACCTGAGTCCTTGTGGGTGAACCATAACCTAATTTAGTAGATAGACAAACCAAAAACCTTAGGAGTATACAACAGCTGAGCATCAGTCAATCCATCAGCCATACTTCAACCACTCGCAGGTAGCTGACTGTTCCAGCTTGTTCTAATAAGGCAAATGCAGAGGGCTAACCCATCCAGGTAAGGTTTCCGTATCTCACTTCCGTTTTTTCTACGTCACTTCCATTTTCTGTATGTTACTTCCGTTTTCTGCACCTCACTTCCATTTTCTGTCTATAAATTTGCTCTGATCACGCACCAATCCTGGAGCCTCTCTGAATCTGTTGTGCTTCTGGGTCTGCCTGATTCATCACTCACTTTTTAAAACATATATTTTTTTTATTTTAAAATCTGGAGTACACAGGTGGATTACAATTCAGGATTACACAAGTGAACATCATACAGGTAAAGTTTAGGCCTCCCTTTGGTCCCCACTCTGCCTGGTTGGAGATCAGGTAACCTTCATGACTCACTTTTTTCTTTCATGGTCAAATAAACAAATTTAATATGTCTAAAGTTTTTCTTTTAACAGTTATCAGCATAATCTTGCATGTATGTGCAGTCACTCAAGCTATGTGTCACTGGGTTTTTGTCCCCTTTTCTCCCCTTTTCCTTAGCCCACCTTCCGTAAGTGATTAATTCCTCAGAATTTCGGGCTCACTCACTATAACAATCTGCCCTGACTTCTTAGGCATCCTGTCACCGATTCTGTCTAGGCCTCCCTCATGACCTGTTAAAGATCCACAACAACATCCTGGTCACTGTCTCTCTTGCCAGCCAGCAGCTCCAGCAAGATTCACTCAGTGCTCCGTAATGCTAGCTATTCTTCATTCCCTTATTCACTTGGTGAAAATATTTGAGTGCTTATTATCTGCTAATTACTATGCTAGGAGTTGTGGTCATTCCCTAGATTAAAATCTTTCCAAGCATTCGTGTTGCTTACAGAACAATCCCCTTGCTTCTAGCACAGCATATAAGGCTTCTGATAATCTGTCTCTGACCCAGCTTTTCAGTTTATTCTCCTACCCTACCGAACAAATTACTTTTCCTTAGTCTGGGTCACATATTGTTAAGCCCTTGTGTCTCTGCATGTGCTATACTATAAGTAGTGTCTTATCTGTCCTAACGTGGGGAATTTCCATTCATCCTGTGCAACTTCACCTAGAGCCTAGAGAAGTGCCTGTGGAAAATACTCAATGAATAGGAAATGAACTTAAATCTCACCTCTGTGCAATATTCTTCAACACCCTGGCTGCTTATCAGGACATCTCCTTTGCTCCACAATCCACTGTGTGCACTTCTGCCTTATCACATCCTCTGTGACCCCTTGAAGACAGGGATGGTGTTTTATGTCTCTAAGGGTCTCATACTCTTCGACTTACTGAACATAAAGTGTACCCTTGTGACTAAATGCTCACTACTTTTAAAGACGACTTCTTGTGTTTGTGGAATTCTTGTTTCATACTGGAAATAATTATATCATTTGTTATTCCAAAAGCCCACGGAATTTGACACTTATTGCAAATGTGCTCTGCACTTCTCCAGAACCAAACACCTTCCAGTGCCTAAGATCTGAAGGGTTGAGTCCATTCTCTTTAATTTAGTCACTGTGTAGCATTGGGATAATATTTAGTCTCTGAGCCTCTGTTCTTCCGTAAAAGAGGGTTAATGATATCTGCCTTCCTTGCTTTGTAGGGTGACCATGAGGATCAAATGAAATTACATATTTAAAAGGACTCTGTAATTTCTAAAGGTCATAAAGCTTTTCAAAGTTCTTTCTTTTCTTTTTTGAGTTGGAGTCTCACTCTGTCGTCCAGGCTGGAGTGCAGTGGCATGCTCAAAGCTACCACAACCTTGCCTGCTGGGCTCAGGTGATCCTTCCACCTCAGCCTTCCAAGTATTTGGAACTATAGAGGCTTGCCACCACACCTGGCTAATTTTTTGATTTATTGTAGAGACAAGGTCTCACCAAGTTGCCCAGGCTGATCTCGAACTCCTGGGCTCAGGCAACCCTCTCACCTCTGCATCCCAAAATGTTGGGATTATAGGCATGAGCCGTTGAGTCAGGCTTCAAGTTTCTCTGTATTCAAAATGTAGCAAAACAAAATACACTCCCCCAAACTTACGTGATCATATTTGTTTTTTTAAAGACAAACTTCTTGAAAAAGCCAGTATTGTGCATTCTGTCTACTCTGTCTTTAATCCCTGGCGTCCTGTTTTTTGCCAGCCACACCACTGGCAGCTTCCTCATCACAATATCAATCATTTCCTCATGGCCAACACCTGTGGACACTTTTCTGTCCTTCCCTCATTTGATTTGCCTTCAGTCTTCCTCTTGCTGCAGCATTCTCTGCACTAGGACCAGGGTGACCTTCCTGAAATCTGGATTCTGGTTATATTCTGCCATGTATGAAGCCCCACAGTGACTGCTCATTGCCCACAGAGTAAAGTCAAACTCCTTAAGTCCACCGGTCTCTGGTTCCTGCCTACCACTCGCCAAGTTGCCCAGGCGGGTCTCAAACCTGCGGGCTCAGGCAATTCACTCATCCCGGCCTCCCAAAGCGCGGGATTACAGGCTAAGCCACCAAGCCCAGCACCCCCTATTGTTGCTTTCGTTATAACACACACCCTAGTCATGCAAAATGGCTTCTGTTTCCAGAAAGTGCTTTTTCACATGCTGTCTAGTGCTTTTGCACATGGCCCTGTGCAATCTTATGATCTTTTAATACTTGGTTCAAAATATTACCTCTTCTGGGAAATTTCTGATCTCAGTTTCCCACCCTCTCCCTACCAGGCTGAAGTAGATACTCCACATCTTTATTCTCCAAACTCCTCTAACCATCTTGATTACCATATCCTTCTCACCTTTCTCTAAGTATCCACTTAAATATGTATCTCTTCTACTAAATAGTAAGCTCCTTGAACATAAGGAACATGTTTTATCTCTCTCTATACATGTAGCTTCCTGGTACATAGTAGGCTATGTTAAATTGTGAAATATATGTTAAATAAACCAGTGGCTACAAAATATTATTATTTGTACTATAGTCTTATTCTTTTACCATATTTAATGCACTTTTTAGATTTATTGTTGTTGCTACCTTCTGGTTTCCACAGATAGAGAATAAAAGTTCTGGCAAAGTGCCACAATTTATTCAGAGTTACTCTCTGTTGAGATAATGGGTTGGGCTTTCCTTGGGAAGTTTCACACCTACAAAGGAGAGCTTAGCTATCTATGTCCTGCCTCCATGGGAGGACAACAGCTCCCTACTCACCTGCCACTTCCAGCCTTGGGGGTTTCCAGTTGTCGGGTAAGGAGCTTGGCAATGGCAGTGAAGCTGTTGCTCATGCGGAAGATGTCTCTGCTCTGAGGACTCAGGATGGAGGAAAAGGTATCAGTGATGCTCTTAATCTCCAGCAGAAGAATATGGTGAAATGAATGCTCCATGTTGGCCAACTGACTAACCAGGTATGTCAGACAGCTCCTGGCTCTCTCCTGCCAAGAATGATGAAGAAAAATGGTCTATATTTTAGAAGAAAAATCAGAGTCCCATGACCAGCAGATGACAATTATATAGGGAGTTAACTTAGGGAGATAGCTGAAGCTAAACAGTAAGTTTAATTCATAGTTCCTCTGAATCTGCTTCTTTAGGTCCTAAATTTGTTACTGACTTCCAGAATAAACTAATATGCAAATATTCTCACTGGTTTATATTTCCAGGTCAAAACCTCTCAATCACCATTAATAATTGGACACTCCACATATCTACCCTTCCTAACTACGTGACTTGTTAACTCTACCTGCATGGGTCAGATGTAGTCAATAGTCTCCAAATAAGTCTTGACCCTCAACTTGTGTCAGATGATGGCCACATATCCCACTGATGTGCAAGTTTGACTGCCTTGCCACAGGTCTCCTCACTCATTTGTTCATTTTAAGCATCTTTCAACATATAACAGTTTTTATATGCTTGACTGAATGAGTAGATTCTATTATCTATTTTAACTAAGCCTACTCTCATGAGTAACTTAAGTTCCTTCAAAGAATCTGAACAATAAGGACAATATAAATAATGTGGGTGTGAGTAAATAGCAAGAAAATGGCTTAGCTGGCACATCTCATACCTATTTAAACTCTCTTTTGAGGTAATATGACCTAATCTAACATTGGAAGTTTGCATTTTTTTAAAAATGCAAAATTATCAAGAAGATTATTTAAAATGTAGATTTGTGCCCAGTAGAAATAATGACATACCATTAACAAATAATAACAATTTAAAAGATGGCTTATTTGATTACTGGGAAGATGGTGGTAGAGCCAGTCAGACAAAGTGAGTTCCAGTGTGAGTGAGTGAATGTACGGAAAATTTTGCATATGTGTTGGTGAGTAAGTGGCATGTGAGTAACTGACTGAGTAGGGACTCAGGAACTAGTGACCAGGGCTCTCCTGGTGAAGCAGCTGGTGCTGCAGTTATTCTGCCTGGTCCCTAGTGCTTCCCAGGGTGCAAAAGTCAAGCACCAGTTTTAAAAAATCAACAAAGCCCTTCTTGGGAAGAAGCTGCCAGAGAGACTGCCAGCACCAGGCCCTGGTGAGGCAGGACTCTGGCAACAAGGACTGCAGAGGGAGCACAGCAAGGGAGCCCAGAGGCAGAGACCCACTGGAGAAGATGAAAGAGGTACACTGCCACCATCTTGAAAACTGGGCAGGAAAGTGTTCCAGCTTGCTCACCACGGAGCGTCAGACCTGACCCAATCTCTGTCACCAGTGGATTAACTACTCAGGGGTTGATCATGACTCAGAGGGAATATCCTGAAAGTACAAACTCTTGAAGGACAGGACAAGTGCTGAGTCTCAGGTGCTCCACCCCCTACCCTGATTCAGCTGTAGGATAAAGGATGTGGCCAGAAAAGGATGAGGAAGACTTCCAAAGAGATCAGTGGTGAGTTTGGGGTTGACCCAAACCCTTCTCCCCTGCAATCTTCTGAACATCAGACCCACATGACTGGGGCACAACTGAGAGGGATGAACCCAGGCAGAACCTTGACATCAGCCACAATAGGAGGACTCCACTCCAGGTTAAGCCTGGCTGAAGTGCCCCCCCCCGACCACCACCAGTACCTGGGGATGAGACAATCCTGCACCTCCTCACTGGAGAGGATCCCCCTGACCATACAAGAGTGGGAATGGAGGACTGAAGCCCCATCCACTCCCACTGCCCCCTCCTCCTTCCCTGGGGAGATTGTGAATGAGGTCAAAGCTCTGCAAAAGACAGCAGAGGGCCAGCTGAGAGGAACAACTAGAGAACCTGCCACAAGAGGACAGGTTTTTGTTTGTTTGTTTGCTTGTTTTATTTTTTAAAATATTTTTCCTTTGTGCATGAATGTGTATGTGTGGGCTTGATCTGCATCTCCCCCACCCCCTTTTTTCCTTTCTTCTTTTTTCTTTCTTCTTTCATTTTTAATTTTCTGTTTATGTGTGTATGTGAACGATTGAGTGTTCATCTTTCAATTTTTTTGTTTTGCTTTTTTATTTTTCTCTTTTTTTAGTTTAATGTGCGTGTGAAAACATATGAGAGTTCGATTTGAATTCCACTTTTTTTTTTCTTTTTTCCTTCCTTCATTTTGTGTTGTGCATGTGTGTGTGTGTTTGGTTTTCCTGTTTTTTTTTTGTTGTTGTTGTTTGTTTTGTTTTGCTTTGTTATTTTGTAGTTTGTTTTGGGGTGTGTGTGTGTGTGTGTGTGTGTGTGTGTGTGTGTGTGTTTAATTGTTTTTTGCTTTGATTTCTGCTCTTGTTGTTCTGGTTTTTTTGGTTTTTTTTGAAAAATTTTTGTCCACCTTATTTCATTCTACTTTTCTCCATTCTCCTCATTACTGTTACTGTATCTTGGACTCAGGGAGTACACACATGTACCCATTGCATCGTCATATAGAGTGGTGGTGGGGAGTGGGTCTCAGGGAACTCATACCACAGTCAGTGAACATTGTGATTTGCAAGTAGTTTCTGAATCCTAGCTTCCCATCTTCCAGCTTATTCAACTCTCAAAACGATAAGAGACAGCAAAGCTTCAAAATAGAACGAATTCAGGGCCCTGATCAGGGAAGACTAGAGGTCTGAGCAAATGACAGAAGTGAAAGCCTCTCCCACTGCCACTGAATTACAGAATTAAAGAGAAAAGAACAAGATCTGTCACAAATGAGAAAAAATCAACAGAGAAACACAGGTAATTCCCAGTGTTACAAAGAGAAAACTCCTGAAAAATCAGACCTCAGAGCCCAAAAAATGGAAGTCACCAATGACTGGCCCCAGAATACAACGGGGATTAGGGAATGAATGGAAAGAGTGAATAAGACTCAAGAAAGACAAGAGGCAACACTGAAAGAACTTGTAACAGAGATTTTGGGCATAAGAAATTTCACCCAGGAAATAAATAACAAGATTACAAGTGAGAAAAGCAGAATTGATCAAGCAGAAGAAAGAATCTCAGAACTTGAAGACCAAAACATGGAAATAACCAATCTGTAAAAAACAGAGAGAAAACTCAGAAATAAAGAACAAAGCCTCCAAGAGATGTGCAATTATATCAAGAGACTGCACCAATGCCTGATTGGTATCCCAGAAGAAGAAAGGGAAATGGAGAACACCTTGGAGCAAGTATTACAGAGGGTTATTAAAAAAAACTTTCACCAGGCTCAGTGGCTCAGCCTGTAATCCCACGTCTTTGGGAGGCTGAAGTGAGTGGATTGCCTGAGCTCGCGGGTTGAGATC